TCGACGGATCTTCTTCGTACATATCGAGAATATTCTTTACGAAGCATGTTACTTTCTCTTCGCTACCAGGTGTAGTCAATTCTCGATCTTCAGCACGAAAAACATCGAGATCAAAATCTTTAGCATACGTCTGCAAACGATTCAAGTCTGTAAGACTAGTTGAATAGGATTCGAGATTCGGTTGACTAGCGACCGATGATATTTGATGTTGGTTTTTCGACGATGTTATCAATCCTTTCCAATGCCTGGCAATCGATTTACTCAATACGATGGTCCCAATTCCAGGTGAATCGAATTTCTTTTTGTACATAGTATCATTTTCATTGATTGACTTGTTGTAATTACGAGCCACTTTCACATCGTGATGAAAGAATTCCATGATTTCTTTACTAGCCTGATGCAATGGTACCACTTCTTTGATACGAAGAATAATCAAGGCCATGACAATAATACATAGAATATTCACTAAGGTAAGGAGAAGACTGCAACTACCAAGTATAGCCGCCTCGTGAGGCATATAACATGAATAGTATGGCAAGTAATCATTGTCGACATATCGAGAACAGTTTATGATAGGATCATTGGGACGAAGTCGGTTTCGAAACTTAAAAAATAGCTCACTCCCGTGAATATTTGAATTGTTACTTATGTCAGTACGAGCGACAGTCGATATGGCATGAGAAAGTATGGAATATGAAAGAAGAAGGCCACAGTTCACCGCCGGAGGTAGAAGAGAAGCTACAAAACCCTATAGAAGTTAGATCATGGGATTACAAAGATTTACGCACCAGATATAGCCACACCGACCAATGATCCTTAGACAAAGACGACAGATAACATCAGAATTCTACACAGTTTACTCTTACCCGTGTTTCCACCGAGGACTGATAACGCAACACCTGCACCACTTGGTAAAGCAATGAGAACACCTACCCACAGACGTTTAAGATCACCACGGGCTTTCATTTCCGAAGTGGGAAAACTCGTTGAACTTCCCCATCTGGTTTCTGCATGTGTTGTACACAAACTAGATCGGCAAAGATCAACATATTGATAGTATGAGAATCCACTCACCCGATGACAAAACCCCACAAGATACAAAGAAAAAGACCAATCAATTCGTTTCGAATGCCACGTTGCCACAACAAATGTTCACGTACTGATAAACCAAATACGATGCCCATTATCGGATTCATCAGTGGACTAACCAGCATACTGGCCACAATAATTATCGACGAGTTTTCTAGAAGTCCAAAACCGGCGAGCATCGAAGCGAGGCTGAGTAGAACGATAAAATCAAACGAGAGTTCTGTAGCAGCTCGAATACCGGCTACTACTTGATGCACCATAAGTCGAGCTCGAACACTTTTCTTGAATTTGGATGTGTCGATATAATTGTGAATTCTACTTTTTAATGCCGAATCTTCGAATGGTATTGTCTGACAACCATCATCAAGATTTGAAGCACTTTCAATAGTCGTCACGGCTGTGTTTAAAGTATTACTTGGCGCATGATCGTGAATTCCCATGACAACCGTAGCAGGAACGATACAAATTTGACTGCCGTTCTTAATGCCGATATCTCTCTGATTCAGATCACACAAGATTCGATCGCTTTTAATGCCAAATTCAGCGTAAAAGGTGACTTGATAAGTCTTTTGATCAGCAGATGGTATCCACATCGGTTCGATATCGGCTTTGTCAGCAAAATAACTCTTCAACTGGACACATAGTGATGGCGATATCTCCTGAAGATGAAAATAATGACATGTAGACTAGTAGCACTCTTTCGTCAGGAAACTGTTACCGTCGCTTCTTGGATGTTGTCTGCTTCCGTTTGATCATTGGGAATAGTAACAATGAAGAGCGCATAGTCCATTGCCATACATAAGTTCTTATTTTCCGTGTGTCAATTATCTGAAACAGATGATAGGAATCGCGAAATATCATGTGAAAAATTATAATCAATCAATCAGAGTCGTTTTCTATAGAGCATTTTGCGATCGAAAACACCGAAGAAACAATCTTTGGAAGAGTTAGAACAGTTTGTTGGCCTTATTGTCTTCACAATAACTAGAGTTTGATATGTTAACATAGAGCATTCTCTTTAATCTCACTCTGCCAGCACAAAGACCAAGTCATAATAAATTATGAAATAAGAAACTGGGTGCAATGAAATTTTTGCCGATAAATTGTTCGTTGGTATGTGAACTATTATGTCTGACATATAGAATGTAATAATCAATAGAATAAACTTGTTGTTATTTTAAAATCGTGTCTAAATCTAGTAAAACCAAGAAAAACAACATACTGACGATCTTGAAAAAGCTATTCGCTTATTAAATTTTCATCATTCCATCTGTCTGTTTCATTTATAAATCATTGAATAAAAGTCAATTTCAAAACTTAAATTACGTAGAGTTCCATCTCTGCTGCTTTCACCGATAAAGATTAAGTGAATTTCATCAGTAGCAGCAGTTGATACTTAATATGATAGATGTCTCATAATGCACCAGCTCTGGGTTCACTATTATTTGTAGCTTCTCTAACTACAAGCGTGCGCTCATCATATTCCAATGAAGGCCATTTTTCCAAACAAGTTTGAACCTGGAATCTTTTTTTAAAAATGAACTTTATTGCGCTGCTCTGCTAATAAACATACTAGAGACCTAGGCTTCACGTAACAATTTTTCGTAACTGACATAAAGGCATCTGTATTCGTCAGTGATGGATAAAAATTTATTCGAGATTTCTATGTCGATCTCATACAGATTTGAAGTCTAAAGTCTGGACTATATATCTGAACACTTACTTTTCTATCTTTCATTTTTTCGAAAACGTTGCTTCCCTCATCAACAGTTACGTCGACCTTGAAAAATCGAAGGTAACTGCACAACTTTGTTGTATGCGTTTATTTGTTCGTGTACATAAAGAACACCGTTAAACTTATTTTGTGCAATCAAATGGAATGTTTTTCTCCTCTCGAAGGGGTTCGCGTATTTTACAGACGAACAATCAATTCAAATAGTGTCTACATGAGTTGAAGCGACGACGTCACAGTTTCTCTGGCTGCTCTCTGTCATCCCTTCGTGTAGCAAAAAATGAATATATCGATGTCAGCAATTGTCGAATTTTCATCAATTGCTAAAATATAATATTTCTTTCTTTTCAAAAGTACTAAATGCTTGCTATCAATCAATGCTGTTACAAACACGAACCGATCTCGATCCGTGATTGCTACAATTATCTATGCTGATATGTTCAACTGATAATTTATATGTACATATTCGTATCGTTGACTCGAATTATTGCTTCAATCTGGATATAGATGTAGCCAAAATGCATCTCAATCAGATGATCAATTTCCAAGCATAAATCAGTAATCATATATAAATAAGAATCTCAATAGTACAAAAAAGTGCACTTTATTTCCTTCTAGTTGAGGATCTGAGAAAAATGAAAGCTGGCAAAATCAATCGTCTTTTATTAATAATCTCAAATGACGTACAGATGTGGACCCAGAAATTATCTGGCTAGGAGTGATCAATCATTTTTCGTAAAAGGCTGCCTGAAAAAAAATAAAAACTGTGTTATTTGAAAAAGTGCGACCGTTCTCATCGTCCCATGGAAAATATCTTAATATGGCAACGTGAATAGGGACGATTAAAACATTAATGTTTCAACCAAGTACTTGAATAATCATTTGAAGGTAATCTATTGACTACATTTAATCGGTGAGACTTCTTTCCATGGTATAGTATTCTTCAAACAAGAGATACCAATCACTCTATCTCTCTTAGTAGAAAAATAAAAAAATCCACAATCCACAATCAAACACTACATCTTTCTATTGGTTCTATGAGAGACAATATCAAATAATGTTGAAAAGCTACCAAAATACAATTCTGTGATTTACAAGTTATCTCACACATATGATGTATACTTGCATTGGTTGATGCTCCATAACATTGAATCTACAAGTTTATATCTGCATCGATTTATATCATAAGTAAAATTATATGTCATATGAAACATTGCTGTTTGTAGCTTAGTCAGCACTAGGAATATATTGGTCTTGAAAGAAAGACAAGTTTAAGAAGTGAACTGAAAGTAATGATGCCAGTTACATGTCTACGTCTTAGATGTACGGACGTTGAAATAAGTTTTCTCTATAGAGCAAGAATGATTTTGTGTACTATAGAACGATCGATGTCTGATAGAAAAGGCCATTGCAACTTATGCATAACATTTTGCTTTAAGGTATACTTGAAACTTTCTGTGGAACCTGGTGAATAAATAACAAAATCACTTGAAACACCGATTGACGAAGGTAAATATTTCGCAGTGTTGAATGATGAAGAAACTATGAACAACGAATACAATCGACTGAAAAGGTAATGTATGCTGAATAATTGCATGAAGAAAGCGAAGAAAAAGGCATATGAATAGATGAAATTACAAAATAAAGCTACTGGATGAATTCAATGAAGCACATAGAAATAACATCACATCTATGTAGTCGACCATAATACATCAAGCATAATACACATGATGTGATTCAAGTCATAGAATAATAATATATAGTAGCAATAACCCATGCATTGTGGACTTTCTCTTGGAGAGATACACACACATAGATACATCCATAATGAACTTGAACTTGAATGAATAGCCAAACCATCAAGTTATGTTCATCATCAATAACCGGAGACACTCATTTCATCTCTGACGATATCATTGATCTGTCACATTCGAAATCAGAGTTCGTCGTCTTCATACCTTTTTTATGCATGCAATAGTTTGTCCCAGATATCATTGTAAATGTCGAGTTGGTGTGCGGTCGTCATCGTGTGAATGGAAGCATAGTTAAAGAGAAGATTCAAAGCCAGATTCAAGCCCACATACATCCACTCTAAAATAGATCTACGAATCTATAACTTGAACAAGTTAATACTTAGTTGTCAGATACTCTTGTTGAATAGCTTCTTNATAAACAAAAAGATATTTATTGTTTGTTTTTTTGTTACTTACTAATCTAACCCGATGCATATGATCAACCATATCTAATTCTGGAAATGCTTCACAAACTTTTTCAATTGTTGTTATACTTTTAAAACCGATCCTATTTAAATAAACAATAAATAAATATTAGGAATACGAAATCAAATTAAAATCTTTACATTTGACCAATGTCTTCAGCTTTGTCTTGTCCAGAAACAAGAACATGTTTATTATGAAAATCAGTTAATGTACGCATCGGTGTTTGAGCAAGAACAACTTGATCAGGTTGAATCTGTATATAAATAAATGTATATATTTAAAAAATCAAAAAGAATAACATTCCAAAAGATCAACTTACAGTTACTCCTAGTACAGCTGATAATTGTTTTGCTTTATCTGATTCGAGCATACATGTATTTGAAACAAATACAACAGGTACTTTAAGCTGAATCAATGTTTGAATAGCTTGTTTAGCAACTGTAATGAAATTCGGACCTTGTGTAATAACACCATCAATATCGAAGAAACAGGCAAAATTCGGCTATTAAAAAAAAATTATGTATTAATAAAAAACAAAAATAAATTCAAATATCTATCTACCGTTTTCATAGTACAAATTCTTAGTATCAATAAACACTCGCTACTTTTGTTCGAAGAAACAAATTTATAATAGACTATTTTTTTTTCTGAACAATACCGAGCAGATCGATGGTATTTATATACAGGTATCGATTATAGACAAGAGGCACGACAGGGACACACACCTCTGACAACACGCCTTACATAGTAAACTTCGTCGTTGTACTTTGCTCATGTGATCAGTTTGTATTATTGTCTAGTGGAATAGTGTACGTGTTCTCATGCAGAACATACACTCACTGAATGATTTTATTCTATTGTTGTAACATTATTTTCTTCTCGTTCGTTGTAGAATGCCATGATGTGAGGAGTGACAATATAGAGCTAAAAAAACGAAATATACAATTTTTCTTTTTCTATTCTGTTGGAAGACGAAATCAAGGACGAATTGAGTACGTTGTTCTTTCTATCCATAGAAGCTGCACATGCAAATAATGTCGTCTGTCTATTTCTATATAAATGCACTAAAAATGCAAGAAACTTCAAAGGTTAATAGCCACACCTTCAGCAGATGTTGAATGCATGCCAACAAATAAGTCAAATCTGTAACATAAATTTTCATTTCATCTGATCGTTCAAGGAATAATGAGAGCAAACTCATACAATAGATTTTGTTGCCATTTTCTCTCTTTTTTCACTTGCTGTTGCCATATAGTATACTTTTTATCAAGTGCAATTCATATTCATATTCTTTCTATTAGTTTGTACATTTTAATAATGATGATATATTTCTTTCGTGTAGGGTGTAGATGTGGGTCTTCTCCTCAACTACACTCACATACACGAATGAAGAATTCTAATTTTCAATCATCTTAGAAAGATGATTGATAGAATTTTTAAATGACTTTTCGTATCAATCGTTAGCAGTAGAGAAAAATAAATGATAGATGACTTACATGTTTCATATAATCAGTTTTGTTATTTACATCACTTAAGTATAATATTTTCTTTTTGCTTAATAAAGAATCTTGTTGATTGGAAACTGTATTCTTCTATTTATGTTATTATTTTTATAAGAGAAGATGTCATCTCATATCATGTCATATGAAACATCGATACAAGTACTCAAACTTGATGTAAAAATGTATTCAATTATAGATTATTTCACGCTTACATATGAATTAATTGTTGGTCAAGGTTAAGAAATATCTTATATATTCTATGAAAATATGCTTGAAGTTAACTGTATCAGATTGAATGAGTGTGAATGTAATAGAGAAAATCGACATATCCACCCATACTCTAATTGAGCCTATATAAGATTGTTTTCTTGGTCAGTATTACTTGGTGTTTTATTTGCTTACATAAAAAAATTAGAAAAGTGAAATATTAATTTCAAATCATCTGCATATATCCTACGTGGTGACATATACGAAGCAGTTACTCTGTTATACGTTCGATTCATTGTTTTCATGCAATTATTTTGCGTTTTGAACCCGTATTATATTTCAAGTTTTTTTTTCGACAAGACATCTGGAAACATTATGAAGAATAGAGTTAATAGACTACCTTCAATTATACTTTGTTCAAAATATAATTTAGTTTTTATTTCATCCACATTGTTACGATGTCAATCACAAATATAATGGAAAAAAAAATGGGCTAAATATGTCTTCTAGTTTTGTTCTAATTGTAATGAATTTCAACGTTTAGATAACATTATACAGCAAGTCACAAAGAGTAAAAAGTCATATTTGAAATTAGTATTAAAAAAAAAATAACGAATGGATTTGTTCTATTTACAATTTTTTTTTGCACTGAAAAAGTATATCATGCACTTTTACGAAAGTAATTGCGCAGACGAAAAGTACAACAGAATTGATCAGAATATCAATACAACGAATTGCACTCTTGGTTTTTTTTTTTTCTTCTTTCATTCAGACGTTACTAATGGATTGTTTTTTCTCTTTTTCTTGAAGGTATGAATTTACAAGTGAATGTAAGAGAATAGAATACTAATACGCACATTCACACTCGAATGCATAAAGAAAGAGTCTTGTATTGATTGTTGTTAAAAGTATAGAACTATGAAGGTGCATTTGTAAGTGAAAAAAGTTATTAAAAATAACTTTAACTCAATCGGATAAATTTCTTGTTCGGTTTACTTTAAATGGAAACATCGTAGATCAAATTTTCATTCTCGATTCGATATTACATCTATTCTTTTTTTACTGAATTTTCGTATATATTAAAATAGATTCTCTTTGCCAACTGATGCAACTACGAAAATTAGTCTAAAAATTGTTTTCTTCTCAAAGAAAAAAAAAAATTAGTTCTATTACATTCAACAATTGCCGGTGAACTTGTACTATTATTTAATCAAAAACGTATTATTTCATGATTATTATTGTTGTTTACAATCTACTTTAATATCAAATAATTCATTAAGAAAAATTTTGAAGTTTAACAGTAACACTAATATTTCTAATAAACTAATTTTTTTTTACATAAAACAAAAAAGATTTTTATGGAAAATTAATTTTAGTTCAAAAAAGAAAAATGAAACCAAATGTTTTGTTTAGACATTTTATTGTTTTGGAATAATTGATTCATGAATAAATTTCTTTTTTCCTTGACTAAAATCAGCAGCAGCATCACCATGACCTTCAACAATCCATTTTGTTGTTAATAAACCTTCAACACCAACAGGACCTCGAGCATGAATACGTCCTGTACTAATACCAACTTCAGCACCTATTTATTAATCAATCATTTTCATTCTAATTATTTTCAAATATATTTCTTTTCTTACCTAAACCAAATCTATAACCATCAGAAAATCTTGTACTAACATTATGAAAAACACATGCACTATCAATATTACTAAGGAATTCATTAGCTGAATGTTCTAAAATAGAAAATTCTTAGCATTCTTCTATTAACTATAAAATTAAATAGTTACGATTTGCTGTTACAATTGAATCTGTATGATTTGAACCAAATTTATTAATATGTTCAATAGCATCATTAACATCATCTACAACTTCAATACAACATTGTAAATCTCCGTATTCAACACGTAATGAATTTGCTGGCGGTGGTGGAAATGGTAATAATGCAGAAAGACGTGGACCAGAATAAACTTTAACCTGAACACAAAAAAAAATGAAAATCTTCAGTTCGTTGATAAATTACTAATTCACCTTTTCAGCACGAAATAAATCAATGAGTGATTCAAAAAATGATGTTCGAATAAGATCTTTATGTATAAGTAATGTTTCCATAGCATTACATGCACTTGGATAATCACATTTTGAATCTCGAACTATGATATCGAGAAGAAAATATATTTAATAATATTTAATATAAATTTCATATCTTACCAACACGTAAAGCCATATCTAAATCTGCATCTTTATCGATAAATACATGACAAATACCTTCAGCATGACCCAAGACAGGTATTTGTACACTTTGTTTTTGTACGGAACGAACAAGTTCATTAGAACCACGTGGAATAACAAGATCAATATATTTTCCTAATTGAAGAAGATCAGCTACTTGTTCACGTGTATTGATCTAGGAAAAACAAAGTTTTATATATTCCAAAGAAAAAAAAAAGAAATTTGAATTACCAAAGCAATAGTATCACGAGGAACAAATGGTTCTAGTGCATCTTGCATTAATTTTGTTAATATTTCATTTGAATATTTTGCTTCTGATCCACCTTTTAATAAAAGACCATTTCCTGAACATATTGATAAAGCAACTATTTGCGGTAAACTATCTGGTCGAGATTCAAATATAACAAGAAGAACACCAATTGGTACTGTTATTTGTTTTAACATAATTCCATCAGCTATACGTGTTTGTCGAACAATTTGTCCTAGAATATTTAATAAAATATGTTAGAAAATTCTATTCAAGATTCAAATCAGGCAGCTCTTGATAGTTTCGAATTTACCTAACATAGATTTCATTTTATGGTTTTTAACTAGCTGTTAGTGTATACCGATTAAAGAGATAAAGATCCTTCTAGATTCAAGTCAGATTAAAGAAATTCTGGTTCTATATTAACCCCAATAAAAAGTGTTATTTCTTAAATTAATTATTACATTTCGTAGTGCTGAGCAATACGACATAGTTTTCAGGATGTGAATTCCTTCTACATTCATAGTGGCAATTACTCAAATCGAACACATTCTCATCTATTCCAACATACTCACACTCAAGTAGTGCACTATCTTACTGAACACTATGCCATTCTGCTCAGTACTAACGAATGTAGCACCAAATTTAGAGAAAATTAAGATTGTTGTTTTTTTGTTTATAAGGATCAATTTATGTAAGCGTCAAAAACTTTGTAGTGTTTCACAAAATAAATAAGTGAATTTAAACAAACCGAGTATATCAGATTTTTCAGCTATTTGTTGAAGACCAATTGATAGAGTTTCCAATTTTTTTTCTGATAGATCAAGTCGATTAAGTAATGATGCTTTAAGACCTAAAGCAAGATATTATATATAAACACATCGAAAAATAAGAGCTGACATATTGTTTATTTTTAACATTTCACTCATATGTACCTTCTTTCATTGCCTCTTCTAAATCTTGTTTATTTGCTTGAAGAATATCTTTTGAATATTCGATTAAATTTGATGCCATTTTATTAATAATTGTTTTTCGTTGTTCTGCTGTTAATCTTTGTAATAGTCGACTACCATCACGAACTAAATGAATTCAAATTCATTTAAATATTTTTCTATCTAATCAACAAAAACAAACTACCTTTAAGAGCTTGAACATCAACTGGTAATGTTTCTGCTGGTGCATTTGTAAAAAATGTTCCAATTTTTTTCCCATCAACAATATTTAATATTGCTTTATCCATTTGACCATTACTTATTACTACAGCAACATTATGATCAAGTGCCCATGATGCACATTTAACCTAGAAAAAAAGCAATTTGATAACAGACATCGACAATGAGTTGAACCGTTTTTTTTTAATACACTCAAACTGAACCGAATACGAACTAATTTTCGAAAAGCAAATCAATGTAGCTGAACGCATAAGAAACATAATTGATTGGACTATAATCGTTTTGGTAAAGCTTTGATGCTATCGGCAATTATCAAGTGATGTTTGTTCGATTGTTTTACTACAGAGATCGAAATGGAACCAAATCGAACTTAAATCATCATACTTCTAATATCTCAAAACCAGTGGTGCACCAAGCTCGCCAAGATTGAGAGATAATCTCCTCTTCCGTTCTCTCCTTACTCAGACCATCTCTGCTCAAGAAAGTTTCGGTTTTCATCAAACTGTAGTCCTTTTTTTTTACTTTTGATTCCATTCCTCCTGTTCCAAATTTTGATCGTGCTCCAAATGAAATTAATTCTAAATCTTGTGTCGGACAAAATGTATGTAATAATCTTGATCCTTCTAATGTTGGAGGTCCTGTATATAATCCATTGACATCACTCATTATTAATAATAGATCAGCCGATATTAAAACAGCTAAACGTGCTGCTAATGAATCATTATCATTAATAACAATTTCGTCTTTTGCTGCTGTTACTTCAGCATCTGTATCTATACATGGTGCAACAGCATCATTTGTATTTAATATAGGTATGATATTTAAATTAAGTAATTCATCAAGTGTAGCTTGTAAATTTTTTCTACTATCAACATTATAAAAATCAGTTTTTGTAACCAATACTTGTGCAACACCAATATTATATTGTTGAAACATACGTTCATAAAATGACATAAGACCTTTTTGTCCAAAAGCAGCACATGCTTGTCTTTGTATAGCTACACGACTATTTTCTAAAATATCTTTTGGTGAAAGAGATTTTCTCATTGTCATTGTCATCATAGCTTCTTTTCGAAGAACTTGTCGACCAAATGCAACAGCACCACTCGTAACTAATAACATTTGTCGACCTTCATTTTGTAATTGTGATACTTGTTCAACAGTTGATGCTAAACGTCCTATGGCTAGACCATCTTCATTTTCACGTGTTATTAATGCTGTACCAAGTTTAACTATAATACGACGGGCATGTTTCATATCACTACGATTTGATATAGGAAGATCTTTTGAATTAGTAAATCCATTTGTTTGATTAGGATTTGCATTCCAAGAAAAATATGGATTTTTATATTGAGTTGCCATTTTATTAAAAGAAAATCTAAATATACAAAGAAATTTTTTTTCTATTGCTTTTTCAACAGCAAAGAATAATATAATCTTAGATTAGTCGCAAGAAGTCTCATTACCAAGTAATTGTTCGATCTGGAAATAGAATTGATTAATGTAATAGTCTAACCAAATGTGCAGTTTATTGCATGTCCTTGATTGAAATGAGCATGATGCCCTTTGCTATCTGCTACTTTTATGTACTTTCATCTCGTTCTTCTCCTGTGTGTAATTTGGAAGAGCATTATTACTTTGTCCTTCTCTTGTATATAGCACTATCTATAATTGAAATAAACGCAATGTTCTTTTCCGTTCGTTATGCGTATCTCGTCCTTCCCTTATATGTACTTTGGAATGGCATTTTTGATGTATTGTTCTCTCGTACATAGCGCGCTATCCGTAATTGAAATAACTGCTATGTTTTTTTCCGTTTGTTATGTTTATCTCGTCATTTCCTTATATAAACTTTGGAATGGCATTCTTGATGTATCGTTCTCTCGTACATAGCGTAATCCATAATTATAACCTATCCTTTGTCTTTCTCTGAATTTATCTTGACATTCCGTATTTTTCTGCTATTGTGTTTACTGTATTTTTCAAAGTCGTTATATGCTATGGAATAGCATATAAGAAACGAGAAAAATGCACTATAAGTATGATTCTTAATATACTAATAAAGTATACGTATAATAGTCTTTAAGCAGTGTCTATTATATAAGAAATCGTCGCAAGTAAACTCTGATTTCAAGCAGCAAATCGAGTTGAATAAACTTTAATGTAAAGGATTTACGAAGGAGTGTAATAGAAATAGCATTGGCCTGTCGAGTGTCATGATATTTGTTTTCTATATTGAGATATCTTCATTATTCGAGTAAACGATGGTAGAACGGCTATTATTCGTCACACGAAAAGAATAAAACACAAAGAAAAGAAAATGAATATTGATTGTGATTCAAATCAAGGTAGTATTCACAACTGGTAACCAGTCAGAACGCTTTAACCAACATAGCTATTCAGACACAGTCTCAACTCAAATTCGAATTCAATATAAATATGTATTTAATCTTTTCGAGTGATGTTACTATTAGCGACTTCACTGTACGAACATTAACTCTAATCGGCCCTCAACAATGAGAGTTTGAAATATGCTTACCTATTGCCATTGAATTAAATCATATATAATTATATATAAATGTACATGAGAGAACATTTTTATTCATTATTCGAATAAAAGATGGTAGAATAACTGTTATTCGTCAATCGAAAAGAGTGAAACACAAAGAAAAGAAAAGAAAAGAAGTCTCGACTGAGATTCAAAGCCAGGTAATATTCACAACTAGTGACTAGCAAGACGCTTTAGTCAATAAAGCTATCGCGACACAGTCTTAACTCAAATTCAAATTCAATGTGAACTTCTATTTTAATCTTTTCGATTGATGAATAACAGTCGTTCTCAGATTTTTTTATTCGAATAATGAATAAAAAAAGCCCTCATATATACATTTATATATAGTTATATATGATTTAATTCAATAGCAATAGACTAAAAACTATTGTGATATGTATAACGATTCATTCAAAAGTTTAGAAAAAAGATCCAATAACTGATAGTGTGTTTTTTTCGTTTTATCTTGTAGATTTGAAGAGAAAAAATGAAGTGGGGAACAAAAAAAGAAAGAAAGAAAATGTACATAGATAAACTATATCAACATTGAATATATTTGTTTTAATAAAATCATTATCGAAGATAGAACAGAAGCATTAGTATTTGTTAAAAAGAATATTATTGAATATGTTTGAATGATAGATTAGAGCAATTGTTAAATACTCTCATCATCCGAAGTATTTGAAAAAATCAATAAGAATAATAAAGTGAATCTTTCTCTTAAATTCATTGTTATGAAATCAGACAGAATGAATAACCCTAACACGACCATCATTAGGGCTACCAAGCGATGGATGCGTGTATACCGCAATTGATAAGACAAATGTAATACACGTTAGCTTACTATGGACGTGCAAAAACTTTATTATGAGAACAACACATAGAAAAGGTAGTTATCTAATTGCTTTTTTTTAAATAGTTTTATCATGGTCTATTTTCAAGGCATTTTAAAACATGAATTGTTTTTATAAATACCTAGAACTAATCTAAATTAAAAGAAGAGTTGTGTATGATTGACTGATGTTATCAATGTATTTGAATAAGTGTTGCCAACGGATGCCTGGAAGGACATATTTTGATTCAACCTTGTATATATATGCATTTTCCTTACTGACGCATTCGAAAAGAAAATATCATTTAATGTAAAGATAGAAAAAGAAAAAAAACACGAGATGGACACAACGTATAATGGGCATCAAAGGAAGTTGCATAGGTAGAAAATTTTAATCTTCTTGAGGTTTCAATATAATTTAGTATAATACGAGTATTACCGAGAAAAATAAAATAAATTTCCTGTTTTTTTTAAACATCTGCATTCTTAGATGATTTATTTTCTGATCTTTTCATTTTTCAAATACAGATGATCTTTATTTGTCGATAATATTGATGATAGAATGCGAAATATTTTTTATCGATGAGAATTTGTATTATCATTTCCATAGTTTATATTTGTTCTTTGTGAACTCGTATTATTATTTATATTATTTTCATTATTTGTTATTTCACTTATTAGAATTACGACGTTGAGAATTTATAGTTGAATAAATTCGATTAACCGTTTTATAACATGTTCATAATCGATTAATGATTTCTGTTATAACATAATTATAGCTATTTAATGTAAGCAAACGTGGTAGTAAAACTCCGTCATATTTTTACTAATGTGGAACAAAGTCACGTACTTCTTGACGTTCTTCTCTTAGATTAAATAAATGATGACATTATACCGAGCTGATGGTTGATAAGTCGTACTTTTTCAACTTAAAAATAATTTATTTACATAGTCAGATAAGAGAACACTTTTCTTTATTGTAAAAATGAATTTTATCTGTATTCTGAAAGATATTCGAACATCTAATTAAATATCAATATCAAACACTTATCAGACACCGATAGAGTTTATTGTTGTTCCGTCACATTAAATATTCGAAATTACGAGATTCTGAAATTAAAACAAGATTTGGTTCTGCAAATTTTTAATTAGCCACGTCCTAGTTCAAGAATTTTGAATTCGATGGGCTCTAAGGGATTGTTTGGTCAAAGATTACACAAAAAAATTTTTTTCGATGAGTAAATCTTGCGAACAAACGATTTTTGAAGAAGTAATTCGTTTGAGATTTCAAATTCAGTAAGGCAGTCATAACTTCAGAAAAGAAAAAGCAAGGACACAAATCATTCGAGAGTGTAACTGATTTAGCCGAGTCTAATATACGAGCATACCGTTCGCTCGATCGATGTGCGATTGTGAAGTACGTTTCCTCTTTAGTTAGAGCACGGTACTGAAATCTTTTTTGATATTTTTAATTCGATGCTTGACATTCTGAGGTTGTCGAAATGTTAACAAAATCCATCATATCTAGTCTAGCCTGAACTGCGTGTTTCTTGGAGTCTGTCAGAAGTGGATCTAAACCATCGTACAAACTCGATGATCATCAATTTTTCATGTCAAAAACAATGCTCAGAAATAAATCTTCCTCATCATTCAGAGCACTATTACTCAGTTCGTTTGAATTCATATCAAACATGATGTTGACAAAGAACTGGGGATATTATATAAAGAAAATCAGTACACTAATCATGGTTGGCTTGCTACCATTTAGATTGACGACAAAGGATTGCTGATAATTCTGTGCAACATTCTAAACAATTAATCTAATTGATATAATGGCTTTCTTAGCGCCAGTAGAGGACTTTCAACTTTGGTATCATTCAAAAGTGATAAGAAACTTCTAAGACATCTTTTTTACTTTTCTAGTATTTCAGAGCGGATCAAAAACACTAATATAATTCATACATTGTGCAGAATCGTCTATTGAAATGGCAAAGTCTTACATGCTTGCACCTATGGTAAACAACTCACTAAAAACATAAGATCTAGACTTCACAGAGTCCTAGACAGAGAAACACATACTCTAGTCGACATTCTGTCTATTCCCTGAAAAAGTCTGGAGGCACCTTTTAGGATCCTGTTTAGTATTCTAGTAATTTCTGTTTGTATCATTTCTCACGGTTACACAAGACCCTTTCCAGGATTTTTTTAAAGTTCGTCTCGGACTTTTTCTAAAATTACCGGCGTGGTTATAGATATTAATTTTTTCTTCCCGAACAACCACTCTCACACTCTCAACAGCTCATGATGAAAATAGTTTCCATCGAATCATACAGTATTTTACTAAATACAAAAACAAATCTCTCCATTTATTTTATTGTTAGAAATGCAAGATGCTTCTATATCAAGTTTGCAGTTGACTGTGACAATATAGATTAGATTGTAGCAAAGTTTCAGTTGAATTGGTTTGCTTTGAAATTAAGATGACCGATCTGTGAATGCTGTAGTCTTTTGAAATCAGTCATTTGAGGAAGAGCAAGGAGTAAGACAAATGCTTTTCACTGTTTTGTTCACATTGGTCACCGATTACAACGATATCTTGAGAACTGCATTACAATAGAATTCAATTGTTCGAGGTATTTGCCCGCCTTCTTCCTATTGAGATTTCACTTTCAACTTTTTTCGCTGTCATAATTACCCTTTATTTTATTTTCATAATCAACGGTAAATCAGTTGTTCAATTTAGACAATCATGTGTTCGATTTTCGTTTACAGAAAGCTGTGAATGGCAAAAAAATATGCACAGGATACGCGAGATGAGCCTTGAAATCACAATCTTTGGCATATTAAACCAATACACCAGTCGATTGTGATACTCGAGCGACATTCGATCGCATAGATACAAGTGAAGAATGTTTCGTGTGAATGTCACGATCGATAAAATTAATCTCAGTTTAATATAGCATTTGTAATAGTAAATGA